TTTTTTCTGGGAATTTAGTTATTTCTCCTAATATATGATTGCAAAATTATTCACAATACTCTGGTATGTGGTTACATTCTCAAATAGCTATAGTAATATCCACTTTTTCATTCCTAATATTACCCCTTTGTATCTACTCTCTTTTTTTTCTCCATCAGTCATGCTGGGTATTGGTTGTTTTTTTCTTTTTAAACAACCATCTTTACTGGGCTTGCATATTGCATGTTTGCTTTCTATTAATTATAATAATTTCTCTATTTTTTTCCTTTCTTTTTCTTTTTTCTTTTCTTTTTTTTTTTTTAGGTTTTTGTGCCATCCTTTTAATTTCTTATGCTGGGTGCTAAGCTCATCATTTTTCATCCTTCTTTTCTAATTAAAGATGTGAGCCATGAAGTCGCCCCATAAATACTACTTTTGCTGTATCACACACATTTTATAACACAGTGTTACTATTATGATTCACATCCATATATTTCATAACTTCTACTCTAGTTTGTTTTCTGACCTTGAGTGGATTAGAAGTTTACTTTGAAACTTCCAAAAGTCTATGCCTTATCTGGTTCTCTCTTTGAATCCTAGAGCTAGTTATAATCATCCACAAAATTCTGGCCCAAGGAAATGGACAGAAATAGTATGTTCAAATTCTAGTGTCTACTAAAGGGAAATTACCTGCTCTCTCTTCCTTTCTTTTGTCTCATTACAATGCAAATCTAAAGGCTGGAAGTGGTTACAGGCATCTTGGATCAGGAGCAGGACATTTGCATCCCTACACACTACATCTGCCGTGACACAAGGCCTGATTTAAAACCATTTTATGGGGGCATCCAGGTGGCTCAGTCAGTTAAGTGTCAGACATTGGCTCAGGTCAGGATCTCATGGTTCGTGAGTTCAAGCCCTACATTGGGTTCACTGCTGTCAGCAAAGAGCCCGCTTCAGATCCTCTGTGACCCTCTCTCCGCCCCACCTTTGCTTGCACTCTCTCAAAAATAAATAAAACATTAACGAAGATTTTATGCTCAAAATAAAAGCTAAATAAAAATGAATAAATAGCTGTGCTACCACTTTAACTCTCTGTGTTGTAGACAACTGATAGCAATGCAAATGAGTCTTGTTCATAGACTTGCAAATAAATGTTGTCTGGGGGAGTTTCAACTTATTTCCTTCCTCCACAATGGAAGAAACCAGTTTTGCATCTAATTTAAATGCATGTCAGAACTCTAGTGCCTACCTATATGTGGTTCTTTTCTCCTTTAAGCCTCAGTAACATTTTATTCATTCTCTCATTAATTAAAGAGTTAAATAAACTCATTTGCCATGATTTCATTTCATATTTGTAGAAGAGTCATGATTTCATAATTTTACTTTTTTGGTAAAATTGTCTTTTAACAAACCCTTTGGTTTCTTACTATCTTCAAAGTTTAATTACAGCCCCAACATAAATGCCTTCTCTGGCTCTTTCTGCCTGACAGTGATTCTCCAGTTTCAGAGATGAATCTAATCTCCTCCATCATGTCCTCAAAGTACAAAATCCATGGTTTTCCTAGAACCTGGACCATGATGTCTTATTTTATAATTTTTCTTTAAGATTTTTTTTTTCTTTATAAAAGCTCCTACAAAATGCATTGTGTTTCCTTCATGTAGTATAGACAATGTATCTTTATCTTACATCATTAATTTATTTACTTGTAAGTAACTTCTCAATTCAAGTACAAATTCCTTTGGAGAACTGATTATAGTTTTTCCTTTTCTCTTCCATTGTCAACACAGTGCCTTATATAGTACCCAATAAATATCCACTGCTATGTCTCATCCATGGCCCATCAACTGGGGCTCTCCATCAAGATTTGTTTTTTAGGTAATTACTTAGCTTTATTTGGGGTATTAGCCTGTTATATTTTGGTTAAGAGTTGGTTCATTACTAAAAAATTCACATTAAACTTTAATGAAGATCCTAAGAACTTTTGTGAAACATCAAATAAAGTTTAAACCTAACCAAAAAGGCTAGGGGAAAATAATAAATTGATTTGCTTCCGGGGAACTTTTTCCTTCAACTATTGGGACTGGTTCTGTGTAAACCCGCATATCCTTATGTGAGTGTCACATATGTACAGTTTGACATCCATTCTACAAATGTTTACTGATTGTCCAGTATATATCAGGAATGTTTGATAGGCCCTGGGTTGCATTTGCAAGTAAAAAGTAATTTCTAACCCAAGAAGCTTACATGCTAGTGAAGAAGGAGAGGGAAAAGTTGAGGAAGAGGAGGAAAAACAGACACATGATCCTGACATAAGTGTTTAGATCACTGGGGACAAGTCAACTCACGTTGCTCATTATGATGAAAAGACCATCTCATTTTCAGCTATTATAACTACTGAACCTTTAAAATCTCCTAATGAAACAATGAAGTTTTGAACTTTTGCATATTTGTATTACCAGAACATACAGCCTACATCCAATATCTTATATTAATACCAACCCAACCAAATGTAGACCACCAATTCTTTTCTACGGTTTAAGTGCTGAGTTGTGAGAGAATAATAAATGATCTTGAGATTACTTTCAGCATATTTGATTTTATGAACTATAAAACACTTTACCAGTTGAATAATCTACCAAGTGTATTAAATCTGCTGCTTATAATGCCATATGAAGTCAAAGGACTTCATAATATTTGAGCATTAACATTATTACTGAGCATTTTCATTTTTATGGCTTTACTTATGATAATTATTTCAAATTAAAACCATCTTGAGAAAACTGCCACTGTAAAAAACCTTGTCCGTTTAATTGATTTTATTTTTCTCATGATGACTTTTTATTTTTACCTTTATTCCTAAAGGAATGCTTAGAATAGGTACTTATTAAGATCATACTCCATAGTACTTTTAGTAAAGAGATTGATAAATTAAAAAGACTAACAAATACTAATAAAATTTATAGGTTTTGGTTTCTGCTTGTATGATTTTAAGTTTTGCATGGCATATTGGTGTAATGAAAATGATTAAATAAGAAATAATAAGCAATCACATAATGATAACCTAACATTTGTTTGGCCCTAAACATGTTCATATATATTTTCTCTCTTAATTCTCACAACTTGGTAAAATAAGTTTAATTATTGTTATCTTTATTTTTACAGATGAGGGAATCAAGAAACAAGTGATTTGCTAAATGTTGTATAAGCGGCATTTTACATGCGGAACTCAAGTCCTCACACTCAAAATTTCTATTTTTGTTCATATTTTTAAAAAGAGTGTTTAATTCACAGGCCAAATCCTGTTGGCAAGACACTTCCTAAGGGTAAGTAAAATATATGTGGAAGAACACTAAACATTTTATTCACCTACAATGTCATCATGCTGAAACTGAGAAGGTCAGTGTAATTTCCAAATGGCCCAGTTAAATCTAAGGAATAGATTATTTACCCACTAGGGTCTGGACACTGTCAATCAAAATCACTTGCTTACACAGGACTAAAATGTGCCCCATTAGCATCTCTCCACCTCACACTCACAAAATAAATATTTTATTCTTTACTGGCCATATTGTTGAAAGGCTTCTTTTTTTTTTTTTTTTTTCCTGTTCATTAAAAACACAGAAAGAAAAAATAAAAATCACCACTAGTCCCAAGTCACTCTTAATATTTTGTGTGCTTGCTTTCTGAGTCTTTTTTTTAACACAAAATACTCAATATTTGCATCACACTCCCCCTCACACACATATATATATATATATACTGCTTTATATACTGCTCCCATATTATGGGGAGCATAATATGGCAATATTTACTTTTTAAAAATATGACTTTTTACGGCTGAAAATCTTTCATCATAAGGTGGTACCATAATTTATTCTACCATTCTTTCAATTCACATGGTTTTCATTATACAAAGGTTTATTTATAAAAGTAATATAATGTTTTATAAAACTTGAAAATATAGAGAAAGGAATGAAATCACAGTCCTAACTCATGTCTAACAAGTCACTGATGAGTTTTGCTACATCTCTTCTACTCTTTATTCATATGCCTATCATTTCTTGTTATTATTGAAGTAGACACAATTTTATTTTATTTTTTAATTTGTCTTCTAGTACAAGCCCTTTCCATAACCATAGTGGCATGTTGGGTGGAAAGTCCACACTTTAACCATTCATTACTGTATTGTCAAACAAGAGGTTGTCCATTTTTCTCTAAAATCATTTCAAATAAATCATTTTACAGTAAATATTGCAGGCATGTCATCTTACATTCGTGCACCTCAAGAAATGTATTCCCTAATACTAGATTCCTGCAAGTAAGAGTATTGAGAAAAAGGCTGACCAGCTTTTAACATTATTTGGGTAGTGGTAAAAACAATGGACAAAAATACTGAGGTTGGGGTGCCTGGGTGGCTCAGTTGGTTAAGCATCCGACTTTGGCTCAGGTCATGATCTCACGGTTTGTGGGTTTGAGCCCCACATCGGGCTCTGTGCTGACAGCTCAGAGCCTGGAGCCTGCTTCTCATTCTGTGTCTCCCTCTCTCTCTGTCCCTCCCCAGCTCACTCTCCATCTCTCTCTCTCTCTCTCTCTCTCTCTCAAAAATAAGTAACATTAAAAAATTAAAAACAAAAAATACTAAGGTTCACTATCTGGACCTCAAAGTATAAGCAGGATCCCAATCTCCACTTCTTTTCAACCAATCCTTTTAGTGACTGGGAAATACAGAAACAAACAGGATATTGATTACATTTAAACTAATTATGTTTTCCATAATTTAGGACATCTTGGTATCATCATTCTTGATGTTTTTTTTTACTATTATTTTCATTTTAAAGGTGTGTATCCACCTACCTTTCAGGTATAGTTTAGCTTAGTCTCTCCCCTTTCAATCCTAGATGTAGTTTTAGAAGTGCTTTCTGGAATTGCTTCTTTGGGTGGGGTGAGGGGGTGCTCTGAAATCCACACCAAGACACAACAGTAATTCTGACAAAAGGAGAAAGAAAATGCCCCAACTTACCGTTTCTAATGCATTTACACGGTCCTGCAAATAAAGCATAATATATAATTATAAAAACAAAGCATTAAAAATCATTTCAAGTTGACTTAACTGTCACATTTTCTCTTTATCTTCCATTGGTAATAATGTATTTAAAAAATATTAAAAAAATGAGAATTCCTACTCAGGATGATATTTCTACAATCAAAACAGTCATAAAAGAATCACTGAACTTCTTATCTCACCTAGTGTTAGGACTGTAAGACTTAATTTAACAGTAAATATCATAAATTCAGATATAACTACTAAACAGAATATACTTTACCACTTTCATGGTAAAATTATTTATTTGAGGATTTATAAATATTACACACGTTTGGTTATAAAAACAACTAGACAATAGTAGTGATATAAAAAAAGGACTATAGCACACATACCAGCCCTCAGGTATACAGCACAAAGTATGATTTGGAAAGTAAAGTTCAGACATAAGAATAACTTCATCAATTAAAATTAAGAAGTAATTTGTTAACTGAGACAATACAGGAAAAATAAACGAGAAAGACCTATCACATGCTGGAACCCAGATGGGCCTTCCTTATCTGTAGTATCTTAGAAATTTTACAGAAATATTGGTTTTAAAAAAGGGTCAATGACAATATGACTTAAACAGCTAAATGACTGGTGTGCCTCAGAGGCTCAGTCAGTTAAACATCTGACTTGCGCTCAGGTCATGATCTCATGGTTTGGGAGTTCAAGTCTCAAATGGAGCCCCGCATTGGGTTCTGCACTGAGGGCACAGGGCCTGCTTGGGATTCTCTCTCTCGCCCTCTCTCTGTGTCCCTTCCTCCATGCTCCTGCTAGTGCATGCACACACTCTCTCTGACTCTCTAAAAAAAAAAATAAAGTTAAAAAAATGCCACATGATTAAGTAAATGGTTGCATTCTCAAACTGACAGCTACATTTTCTCAGCTCTTTTCAGAGCTGACAGATACATGGAGGAAGTCTTTACCAAATAAAAAAATGCTGGATTTGTGAGAGGAATGTCTGAAGATTCAGGAAAATAGAAAGCTATCTTTTTTTTAGGAAGATCAAGGCCACTTTTCTTCCTTTTCTCTCATCTTAAGCAGTGGGAGGAGATGTGTGAAATCTGGATTTCTTTTTTGTTTAATCAAATGAATCATTTGTCCTAAGAGGCAAAGGGGGGAACTGGTACAGAGAGCCACTCACCTCAGGTCTCTTGTGGCCCTACAGGGATCCACATGGACCCAGGACACTTAGAAGCAGCAAGAACTTGGTGCTCACTGCCGAACTCCCAGCCTCACCTAACACACAGAGGCCTTGCCTTTGGAGGACTTCTGCAATATGATCCACAACCCTCAGATTGGGAAACGGAGTTGAACGTTTCTACCCGTTAAACATTTGGTTATGTGGGTACAAGTTAAGTGAATATATTATGCAAAATCAGCCCAAAGCAGACTGTTCTTAGCAACATAATCTGTTTAATTGCATTTTGTTGGCATACTGGAGAGAACCTCACCCTCGTCCCCATAATTTTCGTGAAATAACCGCTGTTTTGTTGGTGACTTGTGTACTGTCACTTTTGAATGCTTCATAATAAATGCATATAATAATGCCTCAAGGGGGCTTTGATCTGTTGTACCAGGCATCTTATTCACAGTGCATCTGGGACAAAACCATTCAGCAATGCTTTATCATCCTTTGCAGATTGAACAGAAGACCTCATTAGATACCTTATAGAGACAGAAATAGCCTTTGGGCAGGATCACATTTATATGAACCATCTTGGAAGCCTTTAAAAAATAAGTAAAGCCACTATTTGGACCTTAAATTTTCTCCATACATTTATGGGCTCACGTTTTTCAGGATTAGCACATTTTAAAAGAACACAGACAGCTAGTTTGAAATCAGAGATTTCATATGATGTCAAAACAGTAGAATTAAATTTTGTCTGTCCTAATTCAGATCTCAGTGTTTGGCAAAGACAGACTGATATAATTTATATATTGGTGTCTTCATTTTACTTGAATATTTATTACCAGATTTAAAAAAAATACACACTGTCGTGGACTGCATGTTCATATCCTCACAAAATTCATGTATTGAAACCCCAATCTCCAATGCTATGGCATCTGGACATGTGATCTTTTGCAGGCAATTAGGTCACGAGGACAGAGTCCTCATGACGGGATCAGTGCCCTTATAAGAAGAGACACAAGAAAGTCTGCTTCTCTTTCTGCTCTCTGCCACATAAGGGCATAATGAGAAAAGTTGGCCATCTACAAGAGGCCCAGCAAGAGGGGCCTCACCAGGACCGACTCTGCCAGCACCTTGATCTTGGACTCCTCATCCCCAGAACTATGAGAAACGTTTGTTGTTTAAGCCACCCAGTCTGTGGCAATTTATTATAGCAATCCAAGCTAAGATATGTGCCTAGTCTTTCAGACTATGAACACAACTGGTCAAAGAAAACTCCATTTTGTTAAAGTATAAAGATGAATACATGATTTATTTCAGTGCAACTTACTGACGTCTTTTCATCTATAACCCACTTCATTCCAAATTGGTATTGAGACAGCTTTCTATGAAAAATGTAATATGTTACCAAAATGAGAAAATTAGGGAAACAGACAATTCAGTTCATTAACCTGAATTTAAATAATTCAATTTGCCAATCAACAGTGGCTAATAGAATACCAGCCATCGTAGCCAGTTAGTGAGACTCATCTAGATTGTAGAGTTGTTTGGTCTTAATTGTAGGCAGTAAATAAAAAGAAACTACTCCTAGTCTTTATGAACTTACTAACTTGCTTTGAAAATTTAAGAAATGCTTTCTGAAAATTTAAATGTTTGACTTCTTTTTTGGCAGATAAGGTTAGTTATTATAATTCTGTATATAAAAAAAATTAGGCTACTGCAAGTATTTATTCTCTAACAAAATATTTTCATACTTCCTCTCATGTTCTTAGCAAAACAGAGGTAACTTAAGCCAGCGCTGTGGCATTGACACAGCCCAGGAAACAAATGCCAGTATATGTCCTAGAATGGACATATAACTACACCACAATAAATTATATTGGTCTTAACCTCTCCCACTCTCACCAGAAGGGCAGCCACAGTGTTTTGTTCTTGTTGTATAATCTCCAGTTTTCATTTCAACCCAGTTTACCTTCAAGTCCAACCTGAAGGCTCAACATTTGCCCCCCTCCCCCAGCATGAACACACACTTCCGCACTTGGATCCTGAAAAGAAAAGTACTGGCGCATTGAAAGGAGGGTTAGAAGGTGGGAGGGGCCGAGGGAGAAAACAGCCTCCAGAAATAGTGAAGATACTCTCACTACAGTCATGCTGTTTCAGGTGGTTTCGATACATCAGTGGTTCTTATTTTTGTAGTCAGGAACTTTGGGTCTGAGGAAATTTGATCTTCTCCCCAGGAAAATGTACATTATCCACAACATACACATAATTCTGCACGCACTTTTAGGAGAATCGCAGACTCTTAGGGTCCCACCGATGGGCCTTCAAGTCCTTTTACTCCAAACAACACTTGAAATAAGATGTAAGAATATTGTATAAATATTCTATTAAATCGAATCTGTTCATTTCTCATGTGTGAAGTATTTCTGAAAAAATAACACTAGTAACAAGGAAAGAAACAAGTGGGAGTGGAAGGTTAAACAAAAAACAAAGGAAAAAATTCCTTCAATATTTTGAAGAAAAAGTGCTTGGGGGAAGAAAACCTGTTTTGTTGATATAAATTTTTTGTGACCGGATAATCTCCTTTCCACTATTCTTTTCATTCTACCTAAGGAGGGGGAAAGTCTAAGAAACACCTGATATGGCAACATTTAATGTTTACTCTGAAAGATTATGTATGTAGTCACTGCATAGTCATTGAGCTCCACTGTGAAGTGGTAGCTGTTCTTAACAAAGTGAATATTTCATAAAACTTCTGAGTATCAATAATGCTGTTAGACAATACACTATAATTCATTCCGGCTTGACATGTCAAGAAGGGAGAGGCATATGTACTATAAAAACACATAATTTAACTTTTTATGCTGAGGTCAGTTAACCTGCCTTGAGCTGTATATATTCCTTTGCTACTTGGTTACCATGGGTTGGTTGTACACTGGAATTTATAACTGAACCAAGGCAGTTAGTTCATTAGCATCATCGGAGATGAGAAAATATTTGTAGGTTAAATTAGGAAATGAGTGCTATATGGATCATTGGTATCTGAATCCCTGGTCATTAACAGTTTATTTGATTCATCCAAGCCAATCAAGTAGACACATGGATTCGTCTATCTCGCATCTAAGAGATGTAGAGGCCTTCTAGATCTAAACAATCTGAGTTTTGCCTCTGTTAAGTACAACTGAACAGGCCTAGTGACTTTATCACAATAATGCGGCATTTTCCAAGAATGCTTTACATATATCCATTTGCATATGAAAACCAATGGCATATTGGTATAAGAATGGTATAAGAATAAAACGAGTCTCTCACTCTTCCAAGTCTAAGGATCTTTAACAGTATAGAATAATTCTGGAAACTTCCCGAGGACTGATGGATGAATAATTTTCAAAAAGCAAGCAAAGATCCACAATGGGGACTCCCTCCATTGCTGTTCTAAATCCAAAAAGCCTCTCTTCCGAAAGAAAAATACACTTGGCTTCACCCAGAGAGACCACTGTGTGGCATTTTTCCTGTCAATGCTAACTCTATTTATTTATTTGCTTATTTATATTGTTAACTCTATTTAATTAATACTCACACTTTACCTACTACTTCTTATATGATATAAAATGAAACACAAATATGTGCATTTTTCTCTATGAATTTCCATATGGCAATAAAATGAGTGTTTTGGGGTGCCTGGATGGCTCAGTCAAGTTAAATGTCTGACTCTTGATTTAGGCTCAGTGGGCTCCATGCTGACAGTGCAGAGCCTGCTTGGGATTCTCTCTCCTCTCTCTCTCTCTGCCCCTCCCCACTCATGCTCTCTCTCTTTCAAAATAAATAAATAAACTAAAAAAAAAAAGGTGTTTCACGTAGTGATTTAAAATAAATTGAAACAAAATAAAGAGCTAAAAACCGCAAACAACCTTAATGTTGCCACGCCAAAAAAAGCTTCAAAATATAGCATAATTTGACCTTGAATACATCAAAGGAAACAATGATCTATACATAAAGTTCCATGTTACTTAAAAGTCAGATAAAATTACTGGACACTCAAGAAAAACTTTTAGAATAAGTGGCATTAGAGCAGCTTGCAGCGGTTTCCTGATCATCCAGAGTTCGTTGCACCCATCTTTTAGATATGTGTAGTCTATCTTAAAATTTTTTTTTAAAATATTTATTTATTTTTGGGAGACAGAGAGATAGAGTGCAAGCAGGGGAGGGGCAGAGAAAAAGGGAGACACAGAATCCAAAGCAGGTTCCAGGCTCTGAGCTGTCAGTACAGAGCCTGACACCGGGCTCAAACCCACAAAGCGCAGGGTCACGACCTGGGCCGAAGTTGGACACCTAACTGACTGAGCCACCCAGGTGCCCCACATGTAGTCTATCTTTGTAAATTCATTTCTCTAGCTGCTTATGTGCCGTTTTCAAATAATCTACTACAGGATCCAAACTAACAAAACGGAAACGCTGAAAAGAAAAACGCAGCAAGGTATCAACATTTTGTCTAAAAAGCTGTAAGTATGCCCTTCAACATGTTGACTTATCCAGAAAAGCCGGTTTAAAGGTATGTGTCATTTCGTAACCTAGAGGGAGTACCCAGTAACTTTCCTCATTACCTGCTTTTCACTAGGGGTGTGACAAGTCCCTGATAGAATCAGAAACAGGATTTACGAACAGAGTCAAAATATGTGCTCCACATCTCTGATCTATTCTCTCATCTACTACCAATGATAGAGATGGGAGGCAGCCAGCTGTTCTGTAGGTTTCCTGGGCAACACTCTGGTTGCATTTTTGGTTTGCGATCTTGAGAGGTGATCACTGACCCTTATACTTTGGCACTGTTTGTATCACTGTTTGACCTTGTTCAGAGAAGTTGGAGATTGCGCCTACACCAAAGTGGGATGTGTGCATGTGTCTGTGTGGTGGGGAAGAGGAAGATATGGAAAATGGAGCTGTGGTGATTTATTTTGACAGATTTCACACTGGAAAATGCAGCCTGAGAGGTGAAGTAGGGTTTTGCTTGAAATCCCTGTAAACACTTCCAGTCTGTTGTGTAACACTAACACCAAAACCTCTCAGATTTACCCTTTGTGTTTCAGATCGCAGAACAAAGCAATGAGGTTTCCTTTTTTTTTTCCCTTTAAAATGAAGAATCGAATTAAGATTCCTCTTTAACGTACAATGTGGTTCACAGGTGGCTAGAGGTTAAGACTACAAACCAAATAGAGGGCAGAAGACACAGAACTGTCTTTCTCCCAGAACTGTGCAATTCCACGGTGAGTCTGCTGATAATGGGTAACAAGAGTTCTGTGAATGACATCTGGACTGGGGAACAACTAAAAATTACTTGCAGATAATATAAAGGCTATGATGGTGGCTAGGGGCAATGCAAATGACAACCAATGTAATTTCAAAGACTGTCCCCTCAAAAGAGATGCACACACAGAAGTTGAGTAGTAGAGGGAGAAAACCAGCAACCCAGAAACCAACACACTGTATTTCCCCCCCAAAGATTTACATTTAAAAAAGTAAAGTACATGTCTCCAGTGGCGAGGTTAGTCATATATCAGCTGAATATGCTCTGAACTCTTATGCAAATCATACTGCAGTAGTGATTATGGCATAATTTATGAGTAGGTTTGTGTCAGGAAGAATTTGTGGGAAACAGTAAGGTATGCTTTTTCTTTCAGAGTGTGTATTTGACTGTCACCAAACATAGCTGGCCTAATGAGACTCCCTGAGGCTGCCATCTCCTTTGATTCCCTCAAGGGCACACATCCTCTGGGATTCCAGGTGAAGAATATTCACAAAGAAACCCACATGGAACCCACTGTCCCAAGCTCCTTCTTCCTGAATATTTCAACCCTAGCACTCGATGGTTGACTATCACTCAGGTCACAAACTGAGCCATGAAATGTTACAAGCAAACAGTCCACCTTCGGAATTAAATTGCTTACCTTTGAGCAATTCTAATAATCCTCATCTCAATTTACATGCAGTCATTTATTCAATTGTTTCAGGAATTAAAGCACCAGGAACCTATGGCTGTCTCACCCTCATTCCCATACTCCTTCCGTGGGCTTCTGTACAGTTACCTCTCACTGTTCTATACTAAAGAGAGAGGGTGCTGATAAAGATAATCAGACATAAGCAGATGGTTTCAAAATAATGTATTTGGCTGACACGAGTAAGGTTTTCCTTGCTTCCTATTCCATTTGACTAAGATCAAAACTATTATTAATCTCCATTTCCTGATATACAAGCACAGGTAGGAAGGGAAAGGTAGTTAAAGGATTTAAAATTAGCCTCAGATTATCTGTACTCTGACCATCAATGGTGCACTGTTCTTAGTATCCAAGAAAACCGAGGAAAAACCCCAACAACTTAGTTTCTAGTTACACTTCTGAGATGCATACCTGAAGGCTGACTTAACCTGCATGTCCCAAAATAAAGCAGACGTATTTTGACTATTCAGTTCCAAATATCCTAAATATTCCTACCTATGAAATACTTAACTGCTTTTTCTTCAAATTGAGCTTCATTCTGATTTTTCATTGCAGTCTGACTAGCATCTTCCCAAGATGGAATTTTAAACAGTTGCTTTGGCTGTTTGAGAGAGATGTGAGTAAAGAAAAAAAGTTGGAAAGCTCTATTGTCTTAAAACATTCGAAAGCACTATCAATAGTCATAGCTATAAAGATAACACTAATACGACTATAATAATTTTTAATGAATTTTTAATTTCTGCATTTAGAAAATTATGTCACACTGTGCTCTTAAAATGTTTCCCCAAATAATTCCTTACTCAACTTACATGCACAAATTTTAGGGAAATCATTACTTGAAGTTGAAAACAGTTTATTCTTCAGGATTATAGAGCTCAAGTATCCTCAGACTGTCTTGCTTTCACATCAAACATCGTTAGATGCAACTAATCCTAAACTCCAAAGTCTACAATGGGAAGGAATAAATAAGGTGGGAGTTTGCTAGCAGGCACACCTGGGCAACTTTAGTCAGTAATGAAAGCTACTTTTAACACTTACAACTTACTTGTTGACAACGGACCACTGATACAGTGTGATTTTCGGAGTTCAGGAAGGTCTGATCACTCAAAATTATGCTTTTCTCCCATTTGCAAAATTATTAGAAATTCTACCAATAGAAATTTATTCTTTGCCTCCCCCAATCTAGTTCATCTTTTAAAAGGCAACAGTCTTGGGAGAGAAAACCATTAAACTAGTTCATTCTAAGGCCGTTCTAACCTGCTGCTTGTTTTTATAGGTCCGTGAGCTAAAAATGGCTTTTACGCTTTTATTTGGCTGAAGAAAAATCAAAGTAAGAATAATATTTTATGACATGTGAAGATTACATGGAATTCAAATTTCAGTTTCCCTAAATTATTTTTATTGGAACACAGTCCATTCAGTTCTTTACATATTGTCTATGGTTGCTTTCTTTCTATAGTGGCAGAGGTGAGTCGTTGGGAGACAGCACATAGCTTGTAAAATTGAAAATATTTAGAATCTGGCCCTTCACAAAAAGTTTGGCAACCCTCTGTTCTAAGGTGTCAGTATCCCATAAAAATTACTTACTGTCTCACAGAAGGAGGTCACCCTATAGCAAAACAACCCCTGTAAGCTTCTGGAAGGAGAAGATAAGGTGAAACACATTGACCAGGGACAAGAAACGAAAGACGACAGGAATCAGAAAAATTTTACCCAAATTTTAAACTTTATTTATTTTTTTAAAATTTTTTTAGCGTTTATTTATTTTTGAGACAGAGAGAGACAGAGCATGAATGGGGGAGGGTCAGAGAGAGGGAGACACAGAATCCGAAGCAGGCTCCAGGCTCTGAGCGGTCAGCACAGAGCCTAACGCGGGGCTCGAACTCACAGACCGCGAGATCATGACCTGAGCTGAAGTCGGACGCTTAACCGACTGAGCCACCCAGGTGCCCCTAAACGTTAAAATAACATTTACAGGTGCCTGGGCGCCAGTCAGTTAAGAGTCCACCTTTGGCTTAGGTCATGATCTCATGGTTTGTGAGTTCCAGCCCCACATCAGGCTCTCTGCTGTTAGCACAGAGCCCACTTTGGATCCTCTGTCCCCCTCTCTCCTTCCTCCCTCACTGCTTGTGCTCTCTCTCAAAAAGAAATAAACATTAAAAAAATAACGTTTAAAAGTTGCATATGCATAAATACATATATCCAGAATATAAATCATTCTTCAGGCCATGAAAGTTTCTTTTTTTTTGTCCTTTATTCCTTTTATCCATCATTTTTATTCATTCCTTCCAATGTCTTTCTTTTGTTCTTCCCTCCTTCCCTCCCTTTCACTCATTTATTCATTTAATTAATTCATCCATTCATTCACACTTATTGAGCAGATACTTTGTTGGACATTGGGTGCACAGTTATCAACAAGGGAGATAAGGTCTCTCTGCCTTCATTGAGTTTATATTCGAAAGGAGTAGACTAAGAGATAAATAAAGAGGATACTCAAACACCATGATGGAGAGTGAGGACAGAGATTTACTTTAGACAGTTTGGCCAGGTTAAATGTCCATGAAGAGGTGACATTTAAGCTGAAACTGAAAGGATGACAATGAGCCATCACTGAAAGAGCTAAGGGAAAGCATTACAGAGAGAGGAAGTAGCAAATGCAAAGGTCCTGGGTTTGTTTAATTTCAGGAGTGACAGGGACACTGGATATTAAAATATCCTTTTAAATTAGCAGTATCATAAAACTCAACACTATTTATTACAAGCTTATTATGTGCTGACAGTATTTTTCATTTGACATTCCCCAAAACTCTCAATAGGTCAACATTATTAATTTCATTCATTTTGAAAGTCAGAGAAGTAGACTCAAAGACATTAAATGTAGTGAATTCCACATTGTGGTTGAGCTGAGACTGCACATTAAGAAATACATATATGTGTATATTTATATATATATGTCTATAAAGATGATACCTTTTTTTATTACCATGAGAACTATATTTTGTGTGTGGCAGAGGTTAGGTTTCATACTGGAGGAGTGTTCTAGAGCCTCTTTCTCAAAATTACACAGGCCAGAACAGCATTCCAGAACCCTAATTTTAATAGATGTCAGGTGACAGTGTAACAAAACACATACTATATCACAATAAAATTTAATGTTCAAATAAAAACCATTATTTGCACACATTCTTACAGTTATTTACCATATCCTCAAAAGGGATTGTATTTTTGCCATATGCGTTTCTAAAGTGAGTTGCAACTGCTTCTATTTCTAGGTGTGATATTAGGCCATTTGAAGACACACAGCCAATACCACTGGGGAAATATCAGAAAAAAGGGTAAAGAAAAGCAAAGATCTAAACTTAATTAGCTGTGATGCTGTGCAGCTAAATGGCACCTCTATTGTGCTGGTCTCCCAATTCTTTCAGGTCTAGGCTGCAGGAGTTAGATTCATTACAGAGCTCATAAATGGCCTCTGCTCCCCCACCCCTGTTTTACTGGTGACAAATTTATTAGTTCTTTTCTAACAGTGAAATGAGAACTAGGGATTTCAATTACACCCAGAATGTAGTAAAGGCATGGAATCTCTTGTAGGTAATATTTTTCTATTCCATTTTATGAGCAAATATAGAAGTACTGTTAATAGACATTAAATGTTATTTATTAGCATGCTAATAAGCCTTCACACTTTTAAAAGTAAACATTAAACTTCTAACAAATTAAATTTAGAAGAGTAAGTGTAATGCAGATACTCTGGAAAAGGAATGCACTTCAGAATCAATTTTTAAAAACCCAAATCATCAGTGATTATGATAAAAAGACAAAGATATGAAGAGATGCTTATTACTCATTCTTTCAGCTCATTTTAGTTTTATCACTTTTTCCACAATTCAAAATTTATGCAAACGTTTTCAATGTTGCCTTTAATTTTTGCCAGAATATTTTGAACCTGGTTTAAAACTGAAATTGAAGAAGCCCAAGGAGGGCTTTAGTAACAACTTTCTTTGGTCTGTTTGTTTAAAGCATGATGAATAAGCAAAAAGAAAAGGTGCAGAATGGAAAAAGAAAAATGACCCTTCTCCTTCCTAGAAGTGTTTGAGATTACTGGATTGCTCATAATCGTGCACCAGGAAGTGAAAGTTTCCTCACATGCCAAGAGACAAACACACACACACACACACACACACACACACACACACACACACACACACACAACACACACACACACACAGCCCAGTTGCCATGTATACATAAAGCTTAGAGCCTAAGGGTTTGTAAATAGTTTTAAAGTTAAATAGAAAAGCAGTAAGGAGTTTCACTAATATTAGTCCCCAGTATTATCTGATTTATTTAATGCATTTTGTACAAGTCATTTACCTTCTTATAGTCTTTTCTTTTTTATTTATATATGAAATTTATTGTCAAATTGGTTTCCATACAACACCCAGTGCTCATCCCAAAAGGTGCCCTCCTCAATACCCATCACCCACCCTCTCCTCCCTCCCACCCCCCATCAACCCTTAGTTTGTTCTCAGTTCTCAACAGTCTCTTATGCTTTGGCTCTCTCCCACTCTAACCTCTTTTTTTTTTTTTCCTTCCCCTCCCCCATGGGTTCCTGTTAAGTTTCTCAGGATCCACATAAGAGTGAAACCATATGGTATCTGTCTTTCTCTGTATGGCTTATTTCACTTAGCATCACACTCTCCAGTTCCATCCACGTTGCTACAAAAGGCCATATTTCATTTTTTCTCATTGCCACGTAGTGTTCCATTGTGTATATAAACCACAATTTCTTTATCCATTCATCAGTTGATGGACATTTAGGCTCTTTCCATCATTTGGCTATTGTTGAGAGTGCTGCTATGAACATTGGGGTACAAGTGCCCCTATGCATCAGTACTCCTGTGTCCCTTGGATAAATTCCTAGCAGTGCTATTGCTGGGTCATAGGGTAGGTCTATTTTTAATTTTCTGAGGAACCTCCACACTGCTTTCCAGAGCGGCTGCACCAATTTGCATTCCCACCAACAGTGCAAGAGGGTTCCCGTTTCTCCACATCCTCTCCAGCATCTATAGTCTCCTGATTTGTTCATTTTGGCCACTCTGACTGGCGTGAGGTGATACCTGAGTGTGGTTTTGATTTGTATTTCCCTGATAAGGAGCGACGCTGAACATCTTTTCATGTGCCTGTTGGCCATCCGGATGTCTTCTTTAGAGAAGTGTCTATTCATGTTTTCTGCCCATTTATTCACTGGGTTATTTGCTTTTTGGGTGTGGAGTTTGGTGAGCTCTTTATAGATTTTGGATACTAGCCCTTTGTCCGATATGTCATTTGCAAATATCTTTTCCCATTCTGTTGGTTGCCTTTTCGTTTTGTTGGTTGTTTCCTTTGCTGTGCAGAAGCTTTTTATCTTCATAAGGTCCCAGTAATTCACTTTTGTTTTTAATTCCCTTGCCTTTGGGGATGTGTCGAGTAAGAGATTGCTACGGCTGAGGTCAGAGAGGTCTTTTCCTGCTTCTCCTCTAAGGTTTTGATGGTTTCCTGCCTCACATTCAGGTCCTTTATCCATTTTGAGTTTATTTTTGTGAATGGTGTGAGAAAGTG